TGGGGGGGGGGGGGGGAGGAAAAATAGCCGAACGAATCTAGGATATTAGGAAGCTTATGAAAATCTACTTTCTCCACAAAAATCGATTTGGGGGGGATTGTTCGGTTGATCCTTTACATCCTGTGGAGAAACTGGTAATTCACACACACACGCGATATGTTAAATTCACACACACACACGCGATATGTTAAAACAGCGCAATGGAAAAGAACTTGTGTAATTCCTAGAGAAACTGAAATTGACACGGATTGGTTCAAATATTTAACATATCGCCAATTATCCAGGTGCATATAGCACCGCTGGTAGGATGGGCGCCCAAAAGACCAGGGTCCCTTGGTTCAAATCTGGAATAGACCAGAGGAGAAGTTTCTACTCTGCACGTGTTGGGATGGTTGGGATAGGCATAGCTCGCAATCGGCATATAAGCTATGCGCGTAGGCAGACTGGAAACAGCCTTGAGTCCAAGGGTCAGTGGGTTGTCCTGCCAGTATGATAAAGGTCAAAAGAGTCCCCCCCCCCCCCACACCACCACCACATTTTCAGTTTTAGCTATTGTTTTACGTGTTATTATTGTTGAATGCGTTATGTTACGATGGAAAGTATGAAGAACAGATGAGTTCATAAAACTTAGTTTGATCGCCATGCAAATTTTTTTAACATTCTGACAACGTAAAGTTAGTTTTTCAAAACTGAAATTCAAATGTGGGGGATGGGGGGGGGGGGGGGTAGGTGGCAGTGAAAAAGAACCAAATTACGATATAAAATATGAAGAACCTGCGGGCTTCCTGTGATCTTTTCCTCTCCCAATCACACCCCACACCCACCACCACTACCACCTCACCTAAGCATCGATTTAATTGTGTAACAAGGGTTTTTGGCTCTTTTCCACCACGCCAAATTTCACCACGCCAATTTCATTGCAATATGACAATGTTAAATAAGCTTTTCAAAATTGAATTTGAAAGGGGGGGAACTGGAAAAGAGCCCATCACACATTTATGCTATAATAATACGTACGAAAACTTTTAAAAAAATGGACTTCTAAATTTTGAAATATGTGGGGGGTGGAATTGAGCCGGGTGGAACATCGCAAGGGGGGGGGGGGGGCGGAAAAGAGCCGGGGTTTACAAGGTTAAGCATGCAGACCAAAATGGCCTAATTGGTGCGTATGCCAGTTTATGGGCAATGTAAAGAATCGGGCAATGTAAAGAAATCTGTTCCTTAAAAAAAAATTGGCAGTGGGGGGGGGGGGGGGGGGTGAAGTGTGGAAGGAAAAATAAAAATAGTCGTTTCCTGTTTTTTTCTAAATTATATTCTTTTTGTGTTTGTGTACTAGAGACGGGTACGGGAGCGATGAGGGAAGTGACGAAGAAGTGAAGCCGCTCTCGGTGGCCGAATTGAGACAGAGGGCAATGAGAAATGTGGCGAAGAAAGAGAGGATGAACAACCAAATGAACAGCATGAACAACAACGCCCAGTATGAACAGACTCACAAGCAGGAACAGTCAAGACATCGCAAACCATCAGCACAGCGCAAGAAGTAAACAACAACAATCACAAAAACAACAATTGAAACGACATCAACAAAATCAACGTAATTGTATCACACAAGAAACCGATAACACCCGCACCCACCCCTCCTCCTTGATAAGAGTTTCCAGGTTTCTAAGAAGACCGTTCAAGTGTCTATCTGTTCAAATAATCCAGGGAAAAATGAACTCTAAGAAGAACTAAAGACAACCGGTACCTCCGAAGACTCGCTACGGACGTTAGTTTAGATTATCATCTATGTCTGTCCCGAACTACGTGTAAACTCTTCTCTATATAGATCTATATCAGTCATATCAGCTCTTTTCTTTCGCAACTTCCTTTTGGCTTGCATCGATTATGCCAGCCAGTTCATAATAACCTTTTCCAAAAGAAGTTTTTGAAAAGGAAAAGCGAGAGAAAAGTAATTTGCCAAATTATATCGTTTATTTTTAACACCAATAAGTGAAACGCAATTCAATTATGTTCAATGCTGTTTTTGTCAAAAAAAACTTCTGAGTTGTTCTTATTAAGAGTCATGAACGCAGTGAGTACTCTTATATAGGACTTAGTGATTTTTTTTAAAGAAAAAGTCTTAAAATTCTCACGCTCAGTTTCGATTTTTCGCGGTTTGATTTTTGATTTCTTTGTAGTAGTTAGAACATAGTTGAAAAATGCCCGAGGGATAAAGAGCCCGGCCTGAGGGCACGAAGTGCCCGGTGGCGGCTCTTTTGCCAGAGGCCATCTTCAACTATGTTCTAACTGTTGAAGAGTATGTTTTTGCTCTTTCTGAGGGAAAGATGCCGGAAAATTGTGAAAGAGCCTGGAAAATTTTGAAAGAGCCCGGAAAAAGTGCGCAAAACTATGCAAATGATTTATTTTTTCATTCATGCGTTCAAATATTTCATTTTTCATTCATGCCTTGTAGTGAAAAAACATGTGTGAAAGAGCAAAAACATACTTTCTTCAGTTCAGTTCATTTCCTGTGATAAAAGGAAGGCAAACTCCACTATCGAATAGCAAAATGTAAAAGTCACTAAAAAGTGATCGACTTTTAATTTCGAATATGGAATTCAATTATCAGATAACCCAGTGAATTAAAAACATTATACCTATCGATCCAGTTTTTTCAAATTGGGTAAATTTATCAAACAAAGGTCACAGATAAATTGTTTGTGAAACTCAGAGTTTTAAAGGCTGATTGCTAGTTTAAAGACAAAATTAAGTGAAAAAATTAATCAAGGCGAAAAATTTTTTTCTCAGAAAACAATTAACTTCATTTTTGGTAAGTAGCGTAAACTTGAATGCCCAAAAATATCGGCTTCTTTAAAGGATATAAAAAGTAATTAAGTACCGAAATGTTTTATTTGTTTCGTTAAGACAAACTTGTAACCGGACTGTGAAGCAATTTGCTAATGCTTCAAAGCCATAAACAATCTACTCCTATCAGGGAAAATCATGTCTTGAACAATCTACAAGGTAACTGCAACCACTTTTCTAAAAAAAAAACAAATAAAAAATTGAGTCTTCAAAAATGATTGATTAGTATTATTATTAATTTTTTTAAAATAATAATTTCTCTGCCTTGAAATAAATGCAAAAACTTGGTTTCTAGATCAAGTGAGCTAAGTAAAAATAGTCAATTGATAATTGCAAAAGACTAATGAACGCAAGAAAAAAACTTTAACTTCAACTGCAAGAAAAAAAATGTGGCCCTTTTTTACGCAAATAAAAAAGTTCATTGAAAGTGGAAAGTGTTCATATATTTGTGCGTTTTTTGCTATAACCACGATCTAGCAGTGGAAACTTTATAGCAGCTGTTATCTGCTTTATTAATGGCTTGTGTTTGTGATGTATTAAGCGTGCGTGGCTGAGTGGTTAACGCCTGAGAATTATATTCTCTATTTCTCAGTAGGTCGCAGATCGTATCCAAGAGCTAGGCAAATTTTTTTAATTCAAGACTCCTTTCTATTTTTTTCATTGCACTTTTCGAAGCTGCATTTTGTTGTGTTTTCGCTAGTACTTGCAAAGCGAAGCTTCGCCTTGTGTCTTAATTAGCCGTTTTGAACAGTGGTTTTTTGTAGCAACTTTAAATCAAAATGTTGATGTTATGAGCTCAAATTTGGAAAGTTATTTCTCTTGCAGTTGTAATTTTCAAAGTTTTGGTTGTTTCAGTATTGCTATTTGAGCCTATTTATTATTGCTAACATTGCGATATTTTTCATCCTATTAAAGCGTGAGCTGCGATTTAAATCAATCTTTTTTGATTTTTAAACGGTTCTCTTACCAATTTTCATATTTTAGTTTTGATCAAAGACTTTCTGATTGGCATATTGAAAAGCAGTTGAAAAATTCAGGGCTTTGTAAAAACCGTTTTGTTTTTATTTTTAAGGACGTTTGTTTTAGTTTTCTATAATTGTCGATTCGGCTCAGTTCAATTTCAAAGTTTTGATAATAAATAATGATGCTGATCTTTCTGTTTTTCTTTTTGACTTAACAAGAGTTCTTTTTCCTTATTTAACTAAGATTTAGATTATGATTGTGTTTGGTGATAATTTCTGTAATTTTTTTTTAAATTCTTTTCAAGTTTCATTTGTATGATTTCTCAAGTCTTTTTGTGAGTTTTTGAATTTAGTTGCATATCTTTGTATCTTTAGCATGCAAAGAAATTGAAGTTGAATTTTAACTAGTAACTTCAGGAACAGTTTTTTTTGGAATTGCAACAAACATTCAAGACGGGAATAAATCTAACACTGATGAATTATCACAATTGCGTTTTTTAATGAAATGAGCTAAAAAAATTTCATTAAGTGATCGAACAAACAACTTTTGCGAATAAAAGGCTTTTAAAATAGTAAAGAAGACTGCTCGTATCAGGTTAAAGCCCGAATTCTTCGACTTCCTTTAGTCTTGATTCAATTAAACTCTAAGGAAATATAACTTAAAAAAACTTGAAACTGTTCTAGCCCGAACAGCCAAAATCAAACTCTGAAACTTACAATTTTTTTTATGTAGGAAATATTTTACGACTATAAATTGAAGAGCATAGAAAATTTATTTATTAAATAGTATCTTCAATTGAATTCAAGACGATTTTGAAAGCGGGATAATGAGACACACATAAATGAGTTGCTTTCACATTTTTGACATCTAAGATAAAATCATGTAAGAGTGTTTCAGTTAGACCAAAACTTGATCAATCAGAAGCGGATTTAGAGGGGGGCGGACGCCCCGCTTCAGGAATTAGACACCCTGCCGACCCAAAGGACTCCCTTTTGTACTATTTTGATATGTCCATTTTTGGTTGATTGACCTGAAAAATGTTTCTAAAAGCGCCTTCGGTGCCAATCTATACTAATTTTGAGGGCCAAAAAACGCAAAAAGTGCCTAAAAAGCTTTTAATTTCCCCGACCTAAGAAAAATTGAAAATTTGCCCCCCCCTCGAGAAATTCCTAGATCCGCGCCTGTGATCAATTGCCAATTTTTAATTCACACTTTAACTTAAAATCATTGGTGAGTTCAATTTTCATCTCGTTAATTCGAAGTATTTTTCAAAATGTTGACAATAAACGTTCTTAAAAAAAATCGTTTTTTTTTGTCTTTAAATTGTTATATATTTTTTACGAGTGTCTAGCTCTTTGCTTTTTTCTTATAAATGATACCAGACAATGATTTTTGAATCACCGGGTGTTGTCGGTAGTTGAGCGTGGGAACGAACATAAGCTTTTAAAAAACATTTTGCTTTAAACTTCAGATAAAAGAAATTCGGATAGAAAATACAAGTGCAACTTAAGATGAAAATAGAAACAATAACATGAAAAAGTTTCAGAATTGAGTAGTGAAAAAAAGAAAATTTTGATTGTAAAAAGCAAAAATGGAGTTCTAAAATTTTTTATTGATGATCAAAACAAAGACACTTTCAAAGAAGAGAAGCAGCTGATAAGCTGACAAACTTTAAAATCCTCTTTGTGTCAATCACTCATTTTGAAGTTTGAAGAGTAGTAAGCATTTTTTCTTTGGCATGCTTCATTTCACCTTGAATCAAAACATTTCACTAATACTGTAGCAGGAGCAGGGGCGGATCTAGGACTTTCTCGAGGGGGGCGGATTTTCAAAAAATTTTCGAAAATTTTGTCGACCTTTTTTTTAGAACGACCAAATTGATTTTTTGAGCTCTCTCGAGGCACTGTTTTATTCCTATTATGACCAAATTTTCTGCGCCGCAAGCAAAATTTTGAAAAAACAAGCCAAAAAAAGGCACTTTTTGGAAAATTTAGACCAAAAAATTGCGTTTTTTCGGCGCGCGCTCCCCCCTCAAAACTAGTATATATTGGCGCCAAACGAGCCTTTAGAAAATTTTTGGGGTCCTCACCAAAAATGGATATCTCAAAATAGTACAGAAGAAACGACACTAATTTTAAGAAAAAAGTTTTATGATTTGAGTCGGAAAATTCTGTTAATTGCACAGTGACCGGGTGTCCTTTTTTCAATGAATTTTGCCTAAAAAAAGGGGAAAGTACGCGGGTATCTTTTTATGTACATCAAAAGTACGCAACTCTTTCATTTTATTTTACGTACAAACATTCAAAAGCCCTGTTTATTTGGTTGTTCATACATAACAAAATGTGGCTATAAACGTCATCGCTTGAGATTTATTTGATGACAGCAGCTTCTTTTGTTGAAAAACCCCTAAAACGAAAAATCAGTGAGATAATTTGGGGCAAATTTTCAAATTAATTTTTTGTGTCGCGGCTAAAACTTTGTATGATAAGCATTGTATGATAAGCATTTTTTTTCTATGGAATTGTATGATAAGCACTTTTTTCTATGGAGGTCAACCCGGGATATGAGATATTCGAATCTTGTATTGACGCTGTTCGACTCATTTATAAGCCGTGGACGAACAAATTTTTTGGTCTACATATAACCCTTGGGTCGAAACACAAATAGTTGGTCAACTGTTAAGGACTATACAAAATTCAAATAACTCATCGTGTGCAAGCTTTTTGCAATTTTTGCAAGACAATATAATTTTCTTCAGTTCCAACGATTTTTAAACCGACTTCTCATGATTTTAATATAAATTATTTTGGCCACGTACTCTGGAGTAAGCAATAAGAGTATTAATCAAACCTTCTTTTTTGTGTTTATGATTTGTTTTGGCTTGTAAAGTTGTGTATAGCTATGACGTTTTCTCGCAAAAACAACTGCAACAAAAATAGTCGCAGAAAATTGAGCAAAAGAGTTTATTGCACATTTATTGGTCAAAACCCCAATTTATGAAATAATTCTTAGCTTCAAGCTTATTTTAATTCGAAATAAATTTTTTTGAAGTTTGCGAGTTTGCTTTTTGCGTTGTTTTCTTTTTTTTATAGCTTTGGAAAGTTGTGTCGCACATTTTTATTGGAAAAAAGGAAGGAAAATAAAAGCAAAAATCTGGAACAAGTAAAATTCATGAAACAAACTTGAAAATACCTTCAGACAAAATGTAATG